GATAATAAGAGACAACGTAAAGGAACATTTAGGAAATTAGGAAGAAAAGATGTTCTGGTACAGATCAGAGTTGCTTCTGGTTTCACAACAACGATACGGAGCACTGCAAGACCGCAGTGGTTACTGTTCATGAGATGCAACAAAATGAGAAATAGTCATTCAAATTTTCTGGCAGGACTTTAGATCATTGAAAATGAATGTGGAAACAAAAGTAAAGTAATCAATGAACTCATGTTTAACAATGTATGCAAGGAGCGGGTTGGCTTGCAGCACGTTGCTTAGTACTGCAAGCCTGTCTGCTCAGAAACAATGCTTCCCTCTAACAGTAACTTTCTGCTGAACCCATAAATCAGAGAAACGAGCTAAACTTCGTCAGCCTTATTGCAGGATTTCCATGATGAGTCGCAGCATTTACACCCATTATGGGTGTGATTCAGAGCTACTGTGGGAGTCGAGCAGCAGGAATTTTCATAAAATTACTCAGATGGCGACAACTGAGTAATGGAAGAACAGATTTACTGCTGTCCCATCAGCTTGTGTAGTACAGGAAATATGGATAAACAAAATGTTTTAATGTGTTTATGGTGGTCAGTCATAATGACTAGTGTGAGAATAAATCTCAGATCATGGTTCTCAAACAGAAAAAGAGCAATTGTTCCCTCAAAGTTTGGGACGAGTCCCTGCCTCAAGTCCCAAGGAGTGAAGACAGAGCAGGACATGAAGTTAAGGATCGAAACCTTGTCTGGACCAAAAAGGTAATATTCATTAACCTGTGTGAGAAATAGATCATAACCAAAAGAAAGAGTGAGTGAAATGAGTTTCCTCAGGATGGCCGAACTTAGAGGTTCAGTGAGGGGAAAGCTCCTCTGCATTGAAAGAAGTCAATTAAGGAGTTTCGCTGATACGATAAGGAGATCTGATGAGTGCCTCCCTGTAAAAGTAGTTTGGGCACATCCCATCGAGAGGAAGCCCCGGGACAGAACTCACTGAGGACGTACGTCCTGCTCATCAAAACACATCTGCATCCACCACAATTAGTGTTTCTCAAAGTGTGCCCTCATAAAGCCAATTTTGTGTATTTTAAGTGAAAATTCTTCTCTTATTAGTGTTGAGAACGCCATTAAAACTGCATCACATCTTCTCTTTAAATCAAATCCTTGGTGACGTTATGACTACTTGCAGACAGCTGTGACTCCAGTCTCTGTGGGGCGCACACACCATCTTTGTGTGAGGGACTGGTTGCTGCCGAAGTGAGTCAGAGAGGAGAAGGTCAAGTTTCGAGGGGGATCTGCGGTTGGCTCCTCTCTCCGCCCTGAGTCTGCACTATCTCACCTCCTCACCCTGTCTGCTCACTGTCACTCTAATGGAGTCGGAGAGAGCCGGAGCGAGAGGCCTAAGACCACGGAGAGTAACACCAGTCTCACCTCATCGTATTTTAACAGCCACCAGGACTATGCCAGGAATGTACATTAATGTGCGCATATATATATTTCACTTAAATCCCTTAAAACACACTTTACTGCTACCCAAATCAATCATATCGCTGCATGTCCACGGCGCTGTTTTACCTGATCAACTATAAAAAAGCACTTTTTGACGCCCATACGAAGTTGATCCAATGAAATCCTGAGCTCAGGATTAAATCAAACAAGGAAAACAAGCACCTAATGTGTACCTCTCATGGACAAGTTGACATTTTAGACCAAGCGAGGGTGGCTGAAATAAAGCCAAAGAAAGAACATCTCTCTTACTCCCAAGGCAAGAATGTAAACACACTAAATTCCTGTCAGAACAGTGAGGAACCATTTGACAGTCATGGATGGCTGTGTATATTTCAGTCGGTGTTTAGCGCATACAATAACAAAGAGTCAAAATTTCCTCACAGAGCTCTTCTTGGGGTGTGATTGTGTTTATGGACACCTGACATCTGAAAAACTTTTAAAAAAAACAAAAAAAACTCAATCAGTAAAGTGGGTGTTCTGAATTTTAACAAGAAGGGAACAGTTAATCACATGGTGTGTTATGGACTGACACCACGTTTAAATGACTTAGAGGAGGTTTAGAACATGAATAAGTAAGAATAGACATAAGAAAGTCAATGTCAAAAATACACTTCAGATAAAAACAACAAAACTATGCTTTTTATAAAGAATATTAATTTGGGGCTTGAAATGTAGACATTTCCACCTTGTCACCAACAATCAGCCTGAAGTTCTGAACCAGCACATACTATACTGCTGCTTAGGGCCCCCAGTCCTGCATGGTGACCCCAAGGCAAGGTAAGGTAAGGTGATTTTATTTTTCATAGCATATGTTTTGCATTTTCAAATTCTTTTACTCTAAAGCGCTTTGTGGTTTCCTAACTTATGAAATATGTTATATAAATGAAATTTACTTACATACAGCAACAAATAAATTCAAAGTGCATTACTTAATAAGAAAGAAAGAAATCAAAGAACAAAGAAGCCCAGAGCATTATATTGCAGGTACAAAGTAAGGAAAGGCAATGGCAGATTGAAAAAACGGACAACACTTTATGAACTTAGTATTTCAATATTTTTGCAGTTTTCTGGAAGCTTCCTCCAGATTAGAGGTTCATAACAACTGAATGCTGAATGATGCAGAGTAGAAAGGTATCAGAAAACCTCAGCCGTCTGTCAACAAACCGTTAATGTATTTTGGTTCTAATCATTTGGTGACTTATAAACCAACAAAAGTATTTTAAGGTTCATTCTCTGAGCTCCAGAAATCCTATTTAAGAACTTCAGAAATGGGGCGACATTTTTCTAGTTTTAGTGAGAACGCCAGCAGCAGCTTTTTGGATCAGCTGCAGCTGTTTGATTGACTTTTTAGGTAAATCTGTGAAGACACTGCTGCAGTCATAAATTTGACTAAAAATAACTGCTTGGATAAGTTACTCAAGATCTTGCTGGCACATTAGTTTTTGTCCTGGAAATGTTCTTCATATAATGGAAGGGTGACTTTGCAATTGTCTTTATGTGACTCTGAAAGTTCTGATCTGAGTCCATAACCACAGCAGATTTCAGGCCTCACTAATCTCAAATTACATTAGCTCAAGCTGTGTGCTGACTCTTGGTTGTTACTCTTGTTTCAAAACTAAAAAATTCAAAAATAAAAAAATACTTTATTGATCCTAAAGGGAAATTAAATGTAACATTAATTTAGATTATTCAAAGAATGACTGTATTTGGTGATGTCTGTTGGCAGGAAAGATCTCTTATATTACTACAAATCTGAAGAAGCCTCTGACTGAGAATACTGTGTTTTCTCAAGGCAGACTCGTGAAGAAGATGGTCTGGGTCGTCCATAATTAAGGTCCTAAAATAATTACTTCAGTTTTGTTTCTATTCAGCTGGAGAACGTCATGCCACATCCACGTATTGACTGGCATCTGCTCAGTGCTTGAATGGTTTCATAGTCACCTGGTGGCTCTGTGTCATCTGTGTCATTAAGATAATTAAGATAATTATTCTCTGTTGTTATAATCTGAGTTAGCTGCAGGCTTCTATATGCCTCTATATTAAATAAGAAGGGCCCCCAGGATGGGACCATGGGGGTATTCAGCATGTGTCCAATGAAAAGTCTTAGCATAGGACTCAAACTGTAGCAGACCCCAATAGCATCTGACCTCTCACAGAGAATGTCTTAAACTAAGAACTTCCTTTTTTTTTTTGCTCTGGGGTCTTCTTGTTTTACCCACCTATTAGTTAGTTTTATCATATTTGTTTTGTTTTTGCTAGTGCTGACAATCAATTAAAAAAAAAAATCTGATTATTCACACCCTAGACATCCCTATTTAAAACATCCTGTAATAATAAAATTAACATTACATTGACATTTTGCCGGAATGATATTTCATCTGCAATGTAGCCACAAACTAAATGCAAGCTGCTGTTTGCTGACTATAAGCTTATAATAAATCACTGTACTCTTGACAGATCAAAGATGTAATTCAGAAAAATAACCTTTTCTGAACTATTTAACTGCTGTGATTTAATAAATAATCTGAATTAAAATTTGGGCCCCAAATCAAGCTCAGGGTCCCATAAAATCTCAGGCCGGCTCTGGTCCAACAGAGCACTTACAAAACACGCCATTTATCTTGACTTAAATTCCTACACCCTTCTAGCCCCACCTTCCTCCACCTAATTCCCCTCCTTCAGGATTCCTACTTTTCTCCTCAATCTGTTACCCATCAGCAGCACTTTTGCTCCCCGCACCAGTTAACGTTTCTGAATTCCCCTAATTTTGTTTCCAGCAGTGAATAAGAAATCTTTAAAGCAACTAACCAGAGCACACTGACTGTTGAAAATAAATTACAGATGATATCTGATGACAAGAACAACACGTCTTGTCCCTGACACTTTTTAATTTAGATTTTTTTTTCTGCTGTTTTTGCTGCCCATGTACTTACACTGTAAAGAGCTGACTGACCAGAACCAAAATATATTTACTCTTTAAAGGACCAGATAAAGTAATAAGATTAACGAATTACGCACAATACTCTTTGAGCAGATTATGTAATTATTTAAAATGTGTTCTCAAAAGTTAAATGTACGTCACCTAAAGCATCTAAACAAAATGTTGTGTTAAATACATCTCAAAGCAAATCTTTAGACGTTACAGCAACTGAATCATCTATCTATCCGAAAAATATTGTCAACTGAAGTGCATATTTTTATTTACAAAGAGGAATTTGCCTAAAAACAAAAAAAATGTTACAGCCTCATGGCCAAAGGTTTACAAATAAGTTGAGTTTTGGGCCAGGGCTTTCTTTACATTTAAAAAGCCCAGGTACAGCTTTAAGTCTTGCAACGCCCTGTGGTCGCTAAAGATAGAAAACGTGTCTTCGTCATGAAATCAAGTCATTTATAAGTCAGAACTCTTACAACTAAAAAATAAATAAATAAAAGCAACCGTTTTGTTTCGATAGTGACTCATGCGTAACAGGTCAATGAGATTATTAGAAAACATCTTACCTTCGAAAAATCTTTGTAAAGCCTCTGTTTCATCTACCACGTCCATCCTAGCGGGTCCCACATAAAACCTCCATCAAATTCTCCCCTTTTCCGAACGACACCGATTCGGATTTGGGGGGGATTTTCACATATACATCACGAAATCCCGATTTATTTAACTTCACTTCACTTCACGGCTTTAATGCGCTGAAGTTTTTTTCGGCTTTAGTAAAACAACTTGGCACCAATCTAAAGGGCCAATTTTAAAGTTTCAAAATTCCCTTGTGGCTCCAATTATAGGCCTATACGTGACGGGATAAAACTTTAAAAACAAAACAAAACAAAGAGCGCTCCACATGAGGACAACGTTAAAAAAAGTCGCCTCAACAGCGCAAATTCAGTTCCCATAAACTTCATTTAAAAAATAAAAAAAAGCTGTGGCGTAGGCTACTTTCTTAAAACGTATGTCTCCTATAAAAGAAGGAATAAAACTCTACTTTGTATAAGAGTCAAAAACAAAAGCGTGAAAATGAGTTTAAAGTAGATTCCGGGAGTCTGTGAGGCGAGTTGTGTCCCTCCTGCGCCTCTCCCTCCCAGACAGGGTGTGTGCTGCAGGGAGAGTCGGAGGAGAGGAGCTGAGGCAGGTGAGGGATGTCCGACAGCCTGCTGCTGCTGAACATAATGCATCTATGGGGGAAGTTTGGAAAGTTTATAAAAAGTCACTAGTGTCCTCTTATTTTACCTATAAATTCAAAAATCTTCATGGTTTCGGAGGTTCTGCTTCTGTGATTTTCCACACGACAGCGATTACTGGACCATTTCGCAAACTGTGGGAATAATAAAACATAGACTGTAGTTAAACATCACAACAATATTGAAAACAGGGGCGAAAGCTGCCAGTTGGTGAATGCTGGTAATTTTGAGGTGCAATGCAAAAAAAAAAAAAAAAAAAAAAAAAAAAAAAATTTTAAATTTTAATTATGCTGTTTTACATGAAGGGAACAGATATGGGAAAACAAACTTTTACTAAATATATAAACAACATAGGTTGGCTGTAAGTACAATTATTTGTTATTTCAAAGAGAAAATGAATTAGGGCAATGTTTGTCAGTGGAAATCAACCAAGATTTATTTATTTATTTTAACAACAACAACAACAACAACAACAACAATAATAATAATAATAATAATAATAATAATAATAATAATAATAATTCTCTATTATTATTATTATTATTATTATTATTATTATTATTATACATGTTTTCTGAAATAACACACAAATAGTATATGGGTTAAGAAAAAAAAGTTCATGATTCGTGAAAGAAATAGTATTAAAAAAGATTAATTTGCAACAATCTGTGCCTGAGGAGAGGTTTCACTTCAAAATCAAACTCTGAGAAAAGAAATTTGGAAATGACCAAATAGTGTTATATAATCTGACTAACTTGTGCTGCATTATGATGATATGGATGCAAAATTATGAAAATGAGACTCAAAATAATAACATTTGGCTATTTAATAGTAGTAAGAAATAACTAGCATTAATAGAAATTTAGGCTATTAACTAAGTCAAGAGATGAAATCATTATCCATGGTTTGAGGTTGTACTTATGTTATGTTTCTATAGGTTCAATGTATTGTGTTGTAATATGTACTTCACATGATTATTCTAATGTTCTCTTATGTCTGCTATTTTTCTTGAACAGCCTTCAGAAATGTCCAAGACAAATATTGGTCATATTATTTCAGTAATCTCCATTGTTCCTGTATGAGTTAATAATGCTTTACCATACACTTACAAAATCACAAAAGAGAAGACAGTGCTTATTTACTTCTCATTAACCTCACAAACAATCACTTACAAGGACCTAATAGTTGAGCCTGTAGGCAGTATAATTCCCTTTGTTTTAATTATGCTAATTCTGACACTTTGAACTTTACTACAATGTTTGTTTTACCTCAAGTCCACTTTTTTGGGGGGAGGAGGACATTTTTCTGAGCAACGTTAACTTAGAGAAACACATAGCAACATTCGCGTTCTGTGTGAAGGCTTTCTAAAGGGAGGATTTGAGGGAATTATCCATTTCTCGCAACATTATCAGATACATCCAACCCCCCTATAACAATGCCACTGTGTGCATCCCCCTGCAGCCTGGACACCCACCCCCTCCGACACCCACATGTGAGATGCTGTTGTGTTGTCTTGTCCCCCCACAGCTGGAGCATCTCGCTGTCCACCCCTCCACCCCTCTGCTTTTCCTCCATTCAACCAAAACAACGCCTCCGTTCTTCCAGCCACACTATGCAGATTGTTTTAGAGGACAAGCGAGAAAGAGAAACAGACAGAGGCTGCAGAGGACAATGAAACAGCTGGATATTCTAAAGCAGTTCATTTTGCTATTCTGTATTTCTTATCTCATAGAGACGAGCAACTGTAAGCATGAGCAGAAGTAAATTGTGTGTTACTCCTGATGTGTTTGGTTCTACGCTCTTTTATCTAAGGCATATCAAGGTTCTCCTTTGCACAGCTACTTTTATGGTTTGGTTTAGGACAAGACAGATAATAATGTACAAACCAAACAAAATATTGTGCAGAAATCCATGGTTGCTGACAGGGCAATTAGTTGTGTGGTCCAATGCCGCAAGAAGACAGCCAACATTAGTAAAAAAAAATTTAAAAAAAGCCAAGAGAAGTCTAATTTGAACTTTGCCACAAGCCATGTAAACCTGGGTAACACATGGACATGCTTTTCTTCAGCAGGGACGAAAAGAATATTTGAGATTCTGGTGAAACAAACCTTCAAAAGGCTGTAGCCAAAGGTTGTTTTACAAAATAAAATACATTGAACTTCGTGTCATGTGGTAACATGACAAAAACGTGAAAAAGGCAACATAGCAGACAAGTAGAAGAAAGTGATTTTACTGTGTCTTTTGCACGACACAGTAAAGATTAATCGATTCCAGCTCAGTTTCAATGTTCGCACTTACTCTCTTTTAGATTTAATGAAAATTATATATTGACCTTGAGGGAGAATTGAGCTGAATAAATTAATATATTTGGTAAAATGGCTGGTATTTCCAGTTATACTCAGTTTATATTGTGGATAAAGTTAAATGATCTTTAGAGAAATTATCAGTTTTTATTATCATATTTTTCTAATTATTGTTGTTGCTTTGTGTTTTTTTCTTGTGCACTCTGAAGTAAAATGGCTTTGAATGTTTTTAACATCAAATTAATACTCAAATAAGCAGATTCACTGGATGTATTACCACAAATGTAATTTTCATATGAACTGTTATTTTCAACAACTTTGAATATTACTGGAAAGTTAATCAATTTCAATAACTCAATAAGTGAAACACATTATATAGGTTCATTACACATAGCGTGATTATGTTAGCCAACCTTTATTTCTGTTATTTTCCGCTCATACTGAAAATGACATTTTAAGATTAGAATACCACAGTTTACCATTAAAAAGACATGAAAAGTGTGCTTAGTATTCTTAAATGTTATTATTTAAATCTTAAAGCACATTTAATCTGATAATGAGGCTCGTAGATGTCAGATTTTGTGAATGCATGGTTATTTCAGTTTTATTTAGAGAAAGTGTCTTCATGTTGTAGTACGTCCTCCAGCCAGCAGATGGAGACGTATTTGTTTTGAATGTTCGAGGAGGAAAATCAAAATGGCGATTCCAGGACCAGGTAGGTGGACGCGTTGCTATGGTTATAGACCGTTCTCATGCGTAAACTTTATCAAAATGAATATAATGTACCTAAATAGGTTGTTGTTGTGCCTGTTTTGCTTCACTTTGACGTGTCTACTTTAATTTACAGGAATGTCTGCGGGTTCGGTATCCTTTTTAAAGTTGTTAAAGAGATACACATCGAAAATAATGAACACACCTTGTCCAGCCTGATATTTGGAAGAGACAGTAATACTTAACTCTGCCTCCAGCTGTCCTCTGTTACCCTGCAGCTGCTGCTGAACCTGACGAGCATCTATTTCGTCTTCTATTTCCTCTTCACTCTCAGCCTAATCATCAAAAAGAGTCCGTGATGCCATGTGTTACTCTTTTACATTTCTATCCCAGCACGTGTTTTATATAACTACTGACAGTTACTATCATTTGCTCATGTTAGGCTTGGAGTTGCCGTATCCTTCTGATGCGTTGACAAATGATGTTGGTCTACTGGTCCTCTTTGCTGCTCTGGAGTTTCTGCATTTCTATTGGGGTGAGGAAAAACGCTCACACTTTGCACACTGAGACACTTTTACATACTTATAATGCAGCGTGTTAATAAGATTTTTGAAACTCACTGGATGACTCCACTGTAGGTGCGAGGGGCAATCTGACGGAGAGTGACAGCTATATGTTTGGGAACCTCATTATGACAGTAGCAACCATCTTATTGGCGGTGTACTTCCTGGTGTGGCAGACCTACGTCATGAGAGCGGACGTGATAATCAGCAGTGTGTTGATCACTGTCTATGGTGCAGATGGAGTCCTTGCTTTAAGCACCCTGGCCAAATTTAGGAGGTTGGTTTCAATAATAGACATTTTTAGCCTCTAGTGTCGCTTTCTTTTGTTATTTTACAGCACTGATTCCTTAAGAGAGGAAAACGTTATGGGAATTACAATAATCGGTTGTTAACATGCGGTAACATCTTTGACCAAACTCACCCACCATGTCAATTCAACCAGAGATTGGCAGCTAAAACTTTAGATCTTGTTAATATATAGTTTAAAGAATTAAAGACAGGTTGGTGATTATGTGTGTTTTTAGCTACTAATGAGAAGTGTGACTTAATCTGAGAAGACAATGTATCATTAAATTGACCTTTGTTTTGTCCTGCACTCTCATAAAAAGACACATGTCCCACACTGTGTCTTGGTAAACACAGTGGTAAACGTGGTAAACTTGATCTAGAACTGCCTCTGGTTGACAATGTTTTATTTTACGCTCTTATATGAGATTTACTGATGTGTTACATATTGGTGTTGCAGGTAAAATGCTAAGGTTACACAAGTCACTCTTTTGAGATCTGGTTTAAAATCTTTAGAATTTATTCTGTCAGAAATTTAAACTAAACTTCAGAAATCAGTACAAGTAAAGACAACTGTGCAAGTTCTGTTTATTACCAGAAATAAAAGACAGTCTGGCAAATTATAATATCTGGTGTCAAACGTTAGACAAAACAGTTCTTTATCTGATATTGACACCAGGACTCAATTTATGGTGATTGACGAGATATCCTGACGTAATCAACATCTCATATGGTTGTTTTGAATGACCTGACAACAGTGAGCTTTTCTTTGTTTCTCAGGCTATTGTTCGGGTATGGCTCCTTTAAGACACGCCTGCATTATTGATATGGCTATCATTTATCCGAGTGACACATATACCTGATAGAGTGTCAGCACATTCTTAGTTTTTTTCCTTCTGAAATAAATTTTAAATCATGTTGGGGCTGAAGAGATGGATCCAAAAGTGTTGCTGAATAGTTCTGTTGTTTACAGTGTGGATTGTTTAGATAATGCATTGTTTTTTACCTTATAGGTAAAAGCATAATTCATTGATATAAGTGGTTTTAATGACATCTTTTTTCTTTCTTGTTTCAGAGAGTATTTGTGAAGAAGACTTCACCACCATATATCCTGCAGCAAATAGGAAGTTAATATTTCACAGATAGAAAACAAGATTTATGAAATGAATGTGTTTTTTGGACAGTTTGAGTGTTTTTATTGTAATTTCTTTTTTTTTTATTAAACTTTTGTTCTTTTTTAATTATTTCATTCTTGCAGGCTAAGTATGAAAAAATGTACTAAATATGACTTAATGACTAATTAATTGTAAGTATTTATGTAGCTGGAAGTGGAACAAAAGTAATAGAAATGTTGGTTGTGTTCAAGTCAAACCCAGGGTTTCTGATCAGTCAGGAAAAGTCAAAAGTCTGATTGAAATTATTTCTGGGTCTGGATAAATGTTGAAACAGGAGAGAATATAGAAAATATTTGCATTTTCACATTTCATTCATTATCCCAATGTCTAAATGTCTGTTCATCCATCCATCTAATCATTCATCTCCCTTTCTCTCCCTGTTTCCAGTCTCTTGGTCTGTGGGTTCAATATTTACACACTGACCACTGTAGAAATATCTGCTATAAAGTCACAACAATCTTTGGTTGTTGTGAATAAAAAAAAATCTGTAGAAATCCTGTAACTTGGATCCCTCCTTAGTTTCCATGCATTACCTAGTTTGTCCAGCAGAGGGCAGTATAGTTTTAAAATGTAATAAAATGGAAGATTTTTAGTACTTAGTTTCTTTTTTTATTACAATGCTTGTTTTTAGTGTTTGAATGAGGTTTGGCCAAACAATGTGAAACAGTCTGAACTTATGCACAGCAATAACAGCCTAAATCCAAAACAGTATTGTGAGATAACGTAACATGGCCCAGTAATATGAAATAACAAATAATAGCCCTAGTGTTTTCACCCTGTGTCCTCTACAACGCCTTCCTGGCTGCATTTAACGTCTACCTCATTTTCAGTGTTTGTCCTTTATGGCTCCACTTTCCTCAAACAGATTTCTCAATACTGACAGCTGAGGTTAATGATCAAACCCAGTGACAAGGTTCCTAAAGTAACCACCTTCCAAACAAATCACATATCAGAGTGCTTGTGGTTGAGCAACAGGTGAGCACAGATAAACACTGACTGTAGGTCGGCCACGCTGTACATCTGTCCTTGATGCCCCAAGAGGTGCCTTTTTCTTCTGGCTTTCAGTTTAAGCACTATGACTGCTTGTTCATGTAATTTGCACTGCATAAGAACAGCATTGTGTGGATGAATTTCTTTGGAGGGACCAAAGAGAGGTCATTGTTAGCTAGTGATACTGGAACCTGGGCAGCGATCCATGCAATTACCCTCAGGAATCCAGCCAGTTTAGACCAGTCTCTGCTTAGTGTACAAAAGAAGCCTCTGAATAATAAAACAATGCAACACATTTCTGAAGTGATTTTACTTATTTGTTTGTTTAATATTTTCTGTTGCTATGTAAAAGTTTAACATTTCATTGTGGATGTATTTTTAACTTATCACTTCTAGTTAATCTCCTTCTTTTTCTTCCCTTTTACTCCACAGCTTCAACACTGACACAGTTGGTGTCAGTGGTTTTATCTTACTTGAATTACTGGGCAGTGATTTGAAATAAACATACATATGTTAAAAATATCACGTTAAAACGACACTTTTGCGACAACATATGATGCACAATAATAAGTGATATTTTGGTCGTTAAACAATTACATTTTAGTTGTGTGTAATATACATATAAGTATAAATATCTATGGTTAGTCTGTATATAGCAATAATATAAATGATTAGCTAATTATATAGGTATTTACCATTATAGACATGTGGATGATATAGATGTAGGATGAGCTAAACAGTGATAATACTTAATACGCATTTCCTTCCTCTAACTCCTTTTGAAATTAAATAGAATTCAATTTCTATTCTGCTTTTTTTTAAATTAAATTATCTATTAAGCCTGCAATGCATAGTTTTATTGTATGCTTGATTTTATTTAGTGTAATAACCTTGTTTGAAATAAAGGTCTGCAGATGAACCTGCGTAATTAAATTAATTTAATTACAAATACTTATTTTCCATTATATACTATACTTGTTTTCCAGTTAAAGTGAAAGAAAGAAAGAAAAAAAACTATCGTTTTTATATAAAAAGGGGGAACTCCCTATTATGTCAACAGAAATTCTTACAATCAAATCGTGAGACAAGAAGGGTTGGAACCGCCCTCAATTCAACACATGCAGGAAATAAAGTACACAGTTTTTGTTTATCAAAGAGGAAAAATGTCTTTAAAGTGACTGCAGTAAATTTCTAGACAAATTAACCTCTAAACAACCAGCAAAGCGAGGTCTGAGGTTAGCCCCGCCCCCTTTGGGTTGAGTTACCTGCTCAGTCACCATCTCTCACCTGTACCGCCTCTCCTCCTTCAGTTGCTGTTTTCTTAGAAGTGACAGCTCGCAACAGGTGGTTCATTCGGAGCTGTCTTCGTTTTTCTTGCAAAACCAAAGCTCTTTGACTTCGACAGTTTCGACAGCCTTCCCTCCCCCCCTCTCCTCCCTGCGGAGTTACCTTTCTTTTTGCGGTTCTGCACAGAAGATTTTAGGATGGTCGGCTGACGTCGGAGGCGTTGTCTGAACCCACGTGTGTCAACTTAAACACCGAGTCTGCAAAACTTCTCCGTGAGTTGCTAAGGTGGTGACAAATGCACTGTTTGAAATCATAAACGTTATTTAGTGTGTTTGGTTTTCTTCTGAATTCACTGTGCCTTTTAAATGTTTATTAAAATCACCTGAAGGTTTAAATAAACCCTGTTGAGTCTTTAGGATACGGAATCTGTTGATGCTGTGCTTCTTCAATAGAAAATACGGTGAATGTTTAGGATAAACAGTTTTATCAAGATTCAAAGATGTGTGTATCAGCAGTGGCAGTTTTAAGAGTCACTACAATGAGAGACATTTTAAAAGCAGTAAAACTTGATTTGTTTCTGTTTTGTGTAAACAAACAATCAAAACAAAGTTTCTTCTTCTGCTTAGTTGATTAACAACTATAGTTGAACTCATTAGGAATCCCCAGTTGCAAAGGTGGACATTTTCTCCATCAACCTAGGCTTCAAAATCCAATATGGCTACAGAGATGGGTTAATTAAGATGTCCGTTTGAACTTTTGTCATTTTTTTAGTTTTATTAATTCCATTCACTGTACTGTCCATCTTCTGTTATGTCACTACAGAGCTTGAACGCCTAGCATGGCAAGAAAAAAACACTTACCCTTTAACAAAGTAGGGTAAGAACTTATTTAAAGTACTACAGGACTTTAGTACCACTAAAGGCAGCCATAAGGTATTATCAGTAACACTTTTACCACAGTCTAATAAGGGCTGATGTCCAGAACTTTTAGGCACACCCTTTCTTTAGAAAAAATGTGTCTGCACAAAATGCTCCAAGCAGTAATAAACTCTGGAATTGTGGATTAGGTCATAATTAATCTGAATTATGACATAATGTCCAACTAAGATCACCAACTATGATGAAGCATGATGATGAAGGACCATTGTTCACCTTTGCATATAAAACACACCAAGCATATAATTGAGCGATGATTAAAATAACTGACTATTTATCAAGTTTGGAATAAGGTGACTTTATTTATATTTTTAAGGGCCTTTTAAGGGAGCAACTTTAACTTTTTATGAACCATAATGGGTTAGAAATATATCCAAATTAACACAAAGCAATTCAGCACTTTTGGTTTTAGTCCAGAAAGACAGCTTCATAAAAAAAAAAAAAGATTGATAATAGTTTGATGATTTTAGTCTTATTAAATAACTCATCTGAAATAACTCAGTGTGAAATACATGTATATACATTTATATTTTTGAAAAAAAATTATATAATTTTAATTTTTTCAGTATTATTCAAATATTTCTTAGTTTTCATGCTGCAAGGCACCATGAAAAAGTTTGATTTGATACCATGGTTAGTTAAAGAGAGAGGCATCTGACTGGTTAAGATTCACTGGAACTCCTCTGTAGACCAATCGTCTGCAACTGCAGCAGTGCTAGTCCCGCCCCCTAATTCTGACAGGTGAAACAAAATTATGTTCTGCAATAACTGACTGACTGTAAAAATGCATCTGCTTTTTGGCTGATTTATTTAGCAAAATATATTTTAATACATTTTTGACTGTATCGTGGTATATTTCGTCTTTGTCTCAGATGTTTAAAATTTATTACAAATATAAATCATATATTCATTTTTTAAATGCTCACTTTTGAACCTCCATAGAGAATATGAAGTGCTTCTGCTATATTTGTTTTGTTTTGTTTTCAGAACACTGAAAGTGTCTATTTCATTCATATGTGATTATTTTGGAGTTGTAATATTTATCCGGCTCTGTTTTTCCAGCATTTCATCAGGATATTCAGTGTCATATTTAGTCTTAATTACAGCATTTAGTTCTGCGGTCAGAGGAAAGTGGTGTCGTGTGCTTTCACTCATTGTAAATACAACTACCCAGTGTCCAACACATTTTCCCGCACTGACGTGTGAATCATGGTGCTTTTAATGGGAAAATCATCAGCATTTACAACAGCCTGAGCTGATTTAGGCCTCAGATCAGATATGTGTTATCTCTTTCCAGATGCTTTTCAGGGTCCATGGGACAAAGTCCAGGTTGCTCATGTAAGAAGAAAATTAGATTTTGGTGGAGATTACACAAGTTATCGCTGTCAGTTGTTTCAGGTTCTGCTTTATGTTAAAGGTTGTTGTTAGCTCAGAAAATACAAGCTTCTTAAGAACACATGTTGTAAGTACTGACTTATTTTCCACTGCAATGATTTATTTAACATTGGTTAAGTTATGAAGTATATTTCTCAGAATTGAAATCCATATTATGAGGAGTTCATTGCCCTAGAATTATTACTTTGGTTTTAGCATAAAGCTCATGTTCTGCAGCTCTGTGCCACAGCCGTAAATATTGTAGAGTCTTTTAAAATGTTTGTCTAGACTCGATGCAAGCACTGTGAAGTTTTCTTAATCTTATTTCTACAAACAGCCTCATTTATCCACACCACCGACCCGTGACCTTTTTCTGTCTCGGCTTCCGTTGTTTTAAGCTAACATTTCTGCCTTTAGATTAGGGTTTTCAAAATAATCGATATTTTGATATAATCCATACAAGAATAATGAATTTTTCAAAGATACTCATTTGTATCCCAGTCAATATTAACTGACCCATTCGCATTTGCACAAGTTGTTGCACTTCTTCCAGCAACAATATCGGGCTCAACACATGGGGAGCGATGAACGATAGCAACAGGCGAAAGTCATCGCCATCCGATGTATCGATGTATCCGATGTATCGTATCGTGTTGAAACTCAACACATGGGACACGATGGCGACGGTAGCAATAGTGGCAGAAGTTGAACATCTATCATCTTTCATGTGTTATGTCCAAAAAATTGTGAGGTAGTGATTAATATTAATTTATTAATTGCTTACATATGTGTAGCCTGCATTTTCACGTCTAATCGTAAGAGCTTGAACATTGTGCATTCATAAGAAATAAATGGTATTATTTATAATCATTTCTTATTTTTAATGATAATAATAATTTATATAAATTATATCTATGTCATATGGATAACATATTTATTTATTAGTAAGTAATTCATTCCTAATTAGATGTTATATATTAGTTTTTGACACTAATTATCAACCAAAGGTGATTAATGTCACATTTTATCACCTGCTCACTCAAATAATTTGTCATTTTTGAAAGCTAGAAGATCATTGAATCTTTATTGCCTTATTACATAACAGTTTAAACTCAACCTCTTGATATAACTATAAGTAGATAAAGAGTAAAATTAGAAATACTGTAAAGTTCTGCTTATCTGGATTATAAGCCATTTTCTTTAGTATCTTGGTCATTCACAATGCCCTCCACACCCACTGGCACCTACTGCTATACATGTGCACACAAGATATGATTCGTTTTAATGTCTGTCTTTCCTTCCATGTGCCCTCCACACCTCTTTTCCTTTTTACAGTCTTTCTTCTCTCATGTCATTTCTTTCTTTATCTTGGGGTCCTTTCCAGTAATCATGCAGGACGTTGTACTTTGGAGGTAAAGCTGTCATTGCTCAGCAACAAGCAGATGCAGGTGCACAGATGGCCTCGGGCCCCTCCTGAACGCTGGCAGCAGGCCAGAGAGCCACGAACAATAGCAGGGAGAGGTGATGACCGGAGCGATAAGAGCAGGAAGAGCGGTCTGCAGCAGATTTCACTTATAGTAAAGTAAATACTCTTTGTCATGGCAGATTTAAGCAGTGGAGCTACACAGCAGGGGGGTCAAGCTGTAAAAAGTGTGGGTGTGAGCTTTCATTTTATTTCTCTGAGGATTTGAGAAGATTACTGCTTTAAGCTGTTTTTTATGATCTCCATGAAGAATGCTGTTTAAACACACCTCCAACTGTCACACAGGGTGTTTATGTCCTACCAACAGCTACAGTATGAGTTGTTCGGTATGGCAAACGTAAGATTCGCCACACGTTACGGCCGATCGATGTTAGAGAGTCGAACACAAGACCAGTTTCCTGCAGCCAACATCTGCTGGTGACACAGGATCCTAACCTCTTGCTACCCGTTAATAATACAAACAGAGCTGCTGCCTTACAGCAGGATGTGACTCTTTGGTGTTTAAAAGTCAAATAAGACGATTATTATCTACAGTCTTAACTGTTGCTCACCTTTCTCATTAACAAACGTTTATTAGGATTTAATAATGCAATAAAAGCAAAGACCTAATAGACCCCACTTCTGCTTTGTTGCACATATTATTGGGTTCAGCTGATTAGGCTGTTCACTCACAGGCCTGTGGACCTGGGGTTTGCTGTGTAACCTGTCTCTTCACGCGTTCACAGCTAAGCCAAAGGCCTGAGGCGGAAGGGCGTGGGAAGGTTTTGTTTTCTTCTTCTCTGCTCCTCCTCATCCTTCAGGTTTACGAGCCGGGCTCTGCTACACATTGCTTTGTGTTCTTAGAAGACGCGCTAATAATGCCAGACAACTAGTTTGTGTGTCTGGGTGTGAAAAATCCATCTAAATTAATGCGCTCTTCGTTATGCACGCATGGCCCTCAGTGGACTGGATCTAATTGCACAGAACGTATCAGCCTGCTGTTTGCTTTTGTCTCCCCCACCTGCAGCTGCAGAAGAACAAGGTGCACACCTCAACTTCAGATCTGACTTGATAAAACGCTTGGAGCTCATTAACATCATAATGTTAAGAACGTGTGAATAGACAGCGACCTGCCAAAGTATTCAACTTTTTCATACTTTCTTCACGATGCAATCACAGAGTTGAATATTTTTGGAATTTCTTGTGACACAACGCAGATTCTCATTGTAAAGAAGAATGAAACTTAGTTTAAGTGTATATTTTTTACTCGTGAAAATCTCAACTTTTTCACTAGCTGAGTGAAAAATCCTTTAATATTTTGATATTTAGCTGCATCCAACTGCTTCCAGAAGTCATACTGTGGATTAATGTTAAAATACATGGAAATACTGAAAAAAAATCTATTTTTGGTGGCTACAAAAGTATTTAGGCTGAGGCAGATATTCACCTTACAGCAAAGCCCCTAAGTATGAAGTGAGGGCTACTGTGGAAAAGTTTAAAACAAAGCATATTAATGTGTTTGAGTGGCCCAGTCAAAGGGCAGCCCTAAATCCAAATGAGACTTCAAATTGTTCACGAGTGTAATTTTTCTTCCACTTCATAGTTCTGCTCTACTTGTTACTCTGTCCCATTAAAATGCATTGAAGTTTGTGGTTGTAAAGTCACAAAATGAGAAAATGTTCAAAAGTTATAAATAGTTCTGCTAAGAAAACCTATTTCACATTAGACTGTATACAGTTTTATGCTACAGTATTTGTACAGTTGTCCATAAAACTTAAAAATATGCACACAAAAAAATTCTCACTGTGTTGTGCAGTTGTTACTCTAAGTCTTAGTCTGTTCCTTATAAAACCATAACATTCTGCGAAAATGTATTTTCCCCTCACAGATTTCATCAGTCACTACGTTTTGTCGCACTTGGATGTTTTAAATCATCAAACAAGCTCCAGTATTAGACATGGATATCATAAGTGGATACGTGGTTTTTAAATATCATTTAATTTTTAAAGGGTTTGCAAAAACTGGCCATGAGCCACTGCACCCATCATGCTTGTCTGTCAGCCAGGTGCTCGTTTTCTGAAATGGTGTCTTAGTTTTATGTCAAAAATCTTGGGGGCAATTTCGTGCCAAAGTTCTTTTTTTTTCCCCTTTTTGCTGAGCTTGCTTTTCTCCTTGGGATTAATGATGCTGTTGTTGCCTGGTTAATGATTGGCTCCTCAGCCTGTGTAAGTGAATTTGTAACCCTTCCCAGACTAATGGATGTAACTGACTTTGCTTTCCATTTGTTCTTGAATTTTCCTAGACTATATGGTGTGATGTGTTGCTGTCTGACATCTTTCAGTCTACTTCGTGTTGCCAAACAGGTCCTACTAAATGTTTCTGAATTTCACATGCCAGGCAGTTATTAGGTGTTAATTTTGGCTTTCCATAAAGCTGAAGCAAAATTCATTTTCTAATGACTTTTTTCACATTTGAGCTTTTCTCCCATAATTGAAAAACTGTTCTTTGCTTTACTCAGTATATCTCTGTAAGGGATGTATTAAACTTGGTTTGGACTGAAATATTTCCGTGTAAAAAACTGAAAATAGTTCACAGTTGTGTGTGTGTGTGTGTTTTTTATTAGTTTTTACCTTTATCCTGACTGTCCTCTTCTCTGCTTCTTCACCCAGGTGGATGCCTGAAATCATGAACTCCCCAGGACCTCTGTCGAGGGAAGCCAAGTGAGTTTCACACACTCCACACATTTCTGCTGCTTTCCTGTGGTTGTTTGCCTTTCTACGTGCAGACTGAGTCGAGTTGCGTTGGCTGCAGAGAATCACTAACCCAGTTTGTGGAAGGTAGTGTGGGTCAGGGACTTTGGGCACAGAGCCGCTCTGTTCAGAGTTGTTTGCTTTGCCTGGGCTCCCCCTCTGTTTCTCCTCCCTCTCTCCTGTTTCCACTCTCACTCTCTTTCTGTCCTCCAGTCCATATGCTTCACTCTGAATGTAGTCCAATCTGCTCCCTGTCCTATGTTTATCAGAAGCGTTTGAGGGTCTAATATTCAGGGAGAGAAGATGAAGGGCTTCCAGCGTAACCCCATCTCCTCCTTTTGTCATTACAGTGGAGTGGCCAGATCGGACAGCAAGCTCAGCGCCAAGGCCCTCTATGGTAAGCTTGTAGAGGTGTTTCTTTACTGTTGGCTTTTTTTTTCCCAAGATTGTCCTTTCACACACCTGTAGCCTGTGTCTTTGCTTACCTTTAACGCTGGATGTTGTCACAACAGGTTGCTGACAGCTAAAATCGTGTAATTTAGGGGGTCGCACACGTTTACCATTAAAAGAATAGTTCTTATAGAAACAAGACAACTTTATCTTGAATTTATTAACTCCTTACATCCTAGTTGCAAAGAGCATCGAAAATTGTAAACCTGTCAGATCTAGGTAGGAATAAAATTTTTCTATAGGAATAAAACGTTTTTCCATCCTCAGTTGTTATTAAACTCAAGCAAGTGGATTCTTCTTGTTGCCCTGGTTGAAAAATTGATTTATGATTTTGGGTTAGTTTTATGTTGTATGTAAAGACTATTGCTCTTCATTTTGTATTTTATTTGCCTATCTTAATCAATTCAAACATACTGCTTCTAACAGAATAAATCATGACTTGAAAATTTAAAGTGCCTTCGTAAAAGTGTTACTATTTGAGCCTCAGAGCCACAATTATTTACTTTCTGAGATGAAAGTGGGCACATTATATGGGCGCTAGTTCTGTAATTTATCTATTTTATTATTCACCGTCTAGCTAAGCAAATGATTATTGTCTGAACAACAATAAGCACAAAAAAGTTCCTTTACTTTTGTTGTCAAGATCTGCTATATTGTAAATACAGCACAGTCATTTTTCTAGTAATTTAAGCTAATCTGACTATTTACAAGCATCCTCTTCATACACTAACATAGCTTACCTACTTTCTCTCAACCAGTGTGAACAATTTTCAATTCAGTTTATTTACAGTTTCAAGACTGACAGGAATGGCGTAAAATGGGACTGATATCACTAAAAGGTTGCAGGTGCGCCGAAGAAGTGTATGTGGAGCGAATCCAAGCAAATCAAACTCTCATGAAAGATAATATTTCAATGCTAGCAATATGAATCAACTTGGAAAGAATAACTTGACACCTGCTACGTTTCAAAATCAGTCCCTTGTGCCAAAAGAAAGTCTTCCTTACAATTTTGAATCCTCCACACCTTTTGTTGCTGTAGATCCGCTCTGCCATGGACACAAATCATAATGTTGCACTTCCAATGCAAATGACTCCCATCAGGAAACCCAGAGGTCGCCATGTGCGACATGTAGCTGGGGTTGTATGACCTTACCACGCTGTCACAATCCCTCCCCAATTAAACACATGTGCATAATCGCTGTGAAAATAATTACCAATGTTTGTGCTGAACGAGCTTTTTTTTTTTTTTCCAATTGGTGACACCCATTTAGAAAATTAGGGCAAATGGGAGGGAAAGGATTCTTGAAGGAAACTGGACTTTCCGGCTCCCCATGTGGTACAGCAAGGATTAGCAATGGGATGCATTAGCTTCTGTGTGTCTTCTCATATGAACGGATGCATTCATGTTTTAGTGCATTCTTTAAATACAAGGGTGTGGCATGTAAGTGATTCATTTATATTTGTGCTGGCAAAAAAAAAAAAAAGAGATATTCTCTGACTGTTGCCATAGCTTACCTAAGGTTTGTTTTTTATAATGTGTGTTTAGCATTTCTCATCTTGTGAGGCCCATTTTTCCAACAAATATTACTTTGTGAAGACCCAAAGCCTAAACGACATAAAAAGAAGTGCTTTTTTTTTAGACAAGAAGGGGGGAATTGAGTCAAGCATATCACAATAATCAATAAATCAATTAATGATGAATTAAAATGAGTGTGAAATAGCAGTTTTGCATATCTTGCCTGTCTGAGCCTAATAATTAACATGTTTTAAAATGCTGTTTTGTTTTGCTGAGACTTCATAATCCATTTTATATGTTGTTTTAATTGTGTTGTTTATTTATTTTGGATTTTTAAAATGTCTAACTGTTCCAGTGACAAACGTTCTCTGGAAATTAAAGTTTTTGGTATTATGATATTATTGCCATATTAGTTGAAAATGGTCTCAAAACAACAATATTATCGTTTATCGCAATAATTTCTGGGACAATTAAAACGTCATCGTGACAGGCTTAAATTGAGCCAAGGTTAGGGTTAGGCTATAGAAATAAATGAAAAATAAATAGAAGTTGGTGCAAAGTCCTTGTGGAGATGGAAAAACATAATGTGTGTGTGAGAGGGAGTAAGAGCTAAAGTGCAGGGTGTGCCTGTTCTTAATGTGCGGCTGGAACAGGGTGGGGATACCCATGCATGGCAGGTGAATAAAAGGCACATTGAGCAGTGGAAAGGAAAAGGCAGACTCTCCATCTCATTCGCTTGTTGACCCTCCCTTCTTTGCTTGAGACATGAGCTCACTGGTCCCTGTCGGCACCTCCTTCTACAGAGAAAAATGTTCCAACGTGTCAAAGAGTCGCCTCAAATAGAAACAACACAAAGGTGCAACAGGGCAACGCTCTTTCATGGTTGCACACTTCTATATTTAGAACCGGCTCAAATAGCCGGAGACGGTGCTGAACGGCTGCAAAGTATCTTCAGAGTCTTTCTTGCTGCACCTGAAACACGGTTAAGCTATTTGTCTTTCAGATATCCACAGGGTGCAAGCAACCCACTGGTGATCTGTGCGACACCCTGCTGTACGTGTGATTAGTTGTTGTTTTCTTGCTCCGCTCCAACTGAGCAACAGATGGTCACCGCCGCCATCAGAGGGAGGATCGCCTGTCCTCCCTTTGCTCAGATGATATTGTGGACTGTCTATCTGTAACAGACCTGGATGAAGTGTTTAATAAACATGCAGCAGTGTAATCTCACATATGCAAACTCCCCCCCATAACTCAAACAGTGCAGTAGACAAGTGATGCAAATCAGATCAGGTCCTTCTGCCTGATCTGTTATCAGCTTCTGTGGCCTGAAGCAGAAAGTGAGAACATCAGACTAATCGTTGCTCTGCTTTGGACTAAAACACTCAGACAACAACCTAAGCTTTTCTGGACAATGTCTCTGACAGGTGAGGTCTCTAACTGAAAGGTTTGACTCTTCTGATTCCCGTATTTACTTTTACTTTTTGGATGTTGATGGTGACGCTTTCAGGTGAGGTATCTTTGTGAATGCAGATGTAAAGGAGGGAACCAAGAAATCGGCTGGCGGCTGGAAACTGCCTTCTTCTACATTTGGCCTTGAACTGCAATTTTTGTGATTTTACTGAGTTACGAAGGCTTAGAAGTCAAAGGAAGCAGAAAGTCAGACAACTGTGTAAATTAAATTTGTATTTACTATGAGCTTTCAACTTCTGTCAGTCATGAAACATGCTGGATTAGAACACCTCAGAGTTAAGGTAAATCTATTATATGCAGTCTGGAGGGGAAACACACAGGCACAGCAGTTTTGGTCATTTTAGTAGATCTAATTGTGCTAACATAAGATGCCAAAAGCGATTTTTATCCACTTTTTGTAGTAATTTTAAAATATCCAAAATCATGTTTTACAACTTCTTTCTCATGCACAAAGTGTGACATCACACTACTACAAATAATTATTGATCGCTCATGACAGGAAGGCTGTAAAAAAAGATCAGTTGCTAAGGCTGGTTTCAGTGGCCAAAATTGACCGATCAAAACTTTATAAAACCAGAGATCAGAAATTAGCTACAAAGTTTGAATTTGTGCATTTATCCCTAAACATTAAAGAAATGATTTTGTAAAAATCAAATGTCAGCTTACTGTATCATTTATCTGTTTTGTTTGTTGCAGCAGAAGTAATTGTGTTTTCATAAATCTAACTAAATAAGCATTTAGCTCTGAAAGCAGTGCCGGTTTTGTAAGGATCGGATTGCTTGAGGTGAAATATCAAACTCCGTGGTGTTTAAGTGATTGTCCGATGGATCTGGGTCACGTAAGAGGCTGATAATCTGCCAGGGTGCTGTGTTTTTATCACCGACCATTGACTCTGGAGAGTTCTGCAGATCGGCCCATCTGCCGACTAAGTGGCTCTTATTGCACTAGGTGGCAGGGCTGTGAATTGATTGGAATTAATGTCGGTCATTAATAAGACATTAGTCGAGCTCGGCTTTCAGAGTGACACCTGACGCTTTTGTTTCACCTGCGGAGAGCCAAGCAGGAAGGAAATGGAGGGAACAGGGAAGGCAATCGGTTGCATCATTTGGACGGTATAAAGTCGTCCGCTTTTTAAATCTGTACTCAATGTTATGCTCGAGCTCCATGAAGAGCTCTTTGTCACGATGGTAAAAAGGGTAAATATTGGAATTTACTCACTGAGCCTTGACATATATTTTCTTGTGTTCTGCAAACAACAGGACTTTTGTGCTGCAGTCAACATAAAGTGAACAATAGGAAATGTATCTCTATGAAGACAAAACCCGGTGTGACATCAGAATGTTGACTCTGGTAGATGGAACATGGAAATTTAGAGATGAAAGCTATTGCCAGAGTTTATAGGAACATGTCTTAATTGTTGCCTTTTATAATATTCACCTTCTAAACGGGTCCAATCACTTTGGTGCTCTCATTTAAAACCAACTAAGCTTCTGTGAGGACATCTGGCGCTTGCATGTGGACATTAATAACTGCGGAGATTAATGTGTTCTTGTTTTATTCTGGCTTTTAGAAGTTGTAAAATGTTTTTGCTTTGGGAAAAAAAAAATCTACAGGTTTAAAGATTCAATGGTTTCAATTTTAAAACAACAACAACAAAAAAGGAGAAAACAACCATAAAAGATTTTGCTGTAAACGTTTCAAAAACAGTTTTATATAACAAGTGGAGTCCACCTCCTGTCTGATTTAATGTCCACTCAGTTCTGTGGACGCCTCAGAGGTTTGCTGGAGATTGTTGGTGAACAAAAAGAATTATTAGGATTAGAAAATGAAGCAAAAACAGGTCAGATTGATGGATTTAATTAAGGATAATCATCAAAGAGGACCTGCTTGAGGCTGCAATAGACTTGAGACTGTGGTGGAGGTTCACCTTCCAGCAGGACAACGACCCTAAGCTAAAACAACTAAAACCACAGTGATTAGATCAAAGCTTGTATTAGAACGCTCCAGTCAAAGTCCAGTTTAAATCCAGCTGACAATCAGTGGCAAGACCTAAAAAAATGATGCCCACACACACTTTTCATCAAATCTGACTGAGCAGTCTTGATGCGCAAAGCTTGTAAAAACATGTTGCAGTGGTTACAGTGAAGGTGGCTTTCCAAAGTATTGACTAAAAGAAGCTCAATGCAAAAGCAAGTCCTATTTTCAGACTTTTGGCTACTCTTTTATGTATATATATTCTATTTTATTTCACAATTACACTTTGCATTAGTCTTATCACATAAAAACCCTAAAAGTTTGGTCTCAGGCGGTTTGAGATGTCTGAATAGTTTTGCAAGACACTGTAAGACTTTTAAAGGAACTGCAATACAAAATCAACAACATAGATGAGGTTGTGTGGTACAAACTGTTCATGCAGCTTCCTGTAAACAACCTGGAGAAACACCTTTATCACCTGACTCCATTGTCATCCTTAGGACCTGATAAGTCCCTTTCTGTGCTGTGTTTTATAGTCTTTTATTTACGTGAATCTCCTATGAGACCATGTGTAGCAGCTGCAGGTCATTGAACCACCTTGATTGTTTTCTTCTATTACCTATTTATAATGTTGTGCCCTTTGTCGATAATTTATTATGCTACTACTGAATATGATTGATAAACTTTTGTTCTGGCATCAAGACACTTTCAACATTTAGCTTTTGGGCCACTTGCGTCTGATCTCCATATTTGAACATGCTGCAGTGAGAGTCTGTGATCAGCTGGAAATATTGATTAGGTTATGTAAACCTGATCTGTGATAGATTTTATAGAGATCGATTTATTCATGGAGTCCCTGTTAATATAAATTCAGTTTTTCAGACTGTCCTGTTAAAGAAACTTAACGTTTACAAAGATCGCCAGAGTTTGAGATTTCCCTTTTATAACTTTCTAAGTTCCATTTTTGAACATCTTAAATGTTTTTGTCTTGTGAAGAATCATTCTTATTGTAGGGACTCAGGCCCATTCTTTAGCTGGTCTCAGATATAGTCAGATTTTATTAACTAGTGGGTAAAGCGCCAGAGAGGAGGAACTGATCCTGGTGCCGTCATTGATCTTTGTACCTCTAATAAATCTGGACTTACGAGTCCAGCCCTGGCTGTTCCGTGCCAACTCTGACTACATTATGAAATGTGGGAGGGGAATTCAAGATACACGCAACCCTACGATATAAGATTTAAGATTAAAGATTAACTTATTTAGGGGTGGCATACGGTGTAGAGGGAGGCCTTCAGTCCTCGATTGAGGTTTGTTTTCCCAGACCTTTGCTGCATTCCCCCTTTCACTCTCTGCCCATTTCCTGTGTAATCTATTGGAAATGAAGACCACTGGTATCAGAATAGTAAGACAAAGTACTCATTTGGTGCCTTTGTGGCCATTTTATTTACATGGGCTTATGTATTCTTTAATCTGACACATTTTACAAAAAGTTTAATTTTACAAAAAGTTAAAATCAAAGTATTTTGACATGGTTTTTGTTTTGCTTCTGCACAAAAAACATTTATCTAATAAACAATCTAAAGTAATTGCCTTGCTAAGTGGGTCATAGACCTGAATCATTAGCAGAGTTGTTGGCTGTGAGGTCATATGGTAAAAAGCTGTCATTTCCTTATTTGCTGTGTGCTCTTCAAGCTCACGCATTACTTTTCCCCTTCGTCTCGTCTCACTACCGAAACGCCAACATGTGGACTTACGGTCAGAGCTGGTTTTTGATGGACAGATCTACTTTACAATGGCTTTTTGTCTCCATAGAATAATTTTTTGTCTTTTTTGTTACCCACAGAGCAGCGGAAAAAATACTCCAATTCAAATTTCATCATGCAAGAGACGTCGCAGTACCACGTTGAGGTAAAGCCTTTGTTTTATGATTCGATATAAGAGTTTGAAATTACAAAAAAATAAAATAAAATGAAAGAGTTTCCTACGTTTTTGATTCTCGGTCACAGTTGTTATTAAAAGGTTTATAGGGAATTAAAAAAAAGTAAATTTTATATTTATTTAGATTTGACAACCTCTGTACTGCATACATTTTTTGTAATCTTTCAAAGCGTTCTGAAGTTGCTGTGTAATAGAACGACTATAGATTGTCTCTCCATGAGACAATGTGTGGTAAAGAGTTCATGACAGGGGAGACGAGTGATAACATGCATTTATATTTTATTTGAGAAATAATTTTTTTTTTTCTTGTAAAAAAAGCAAAAGTTTAAATATCAAATAATTTGTAATCAACGTAAAAAGGATTTAGTCCTGATTTGAGCCTTTTGTATTTTAGCTTTTAGCTTAATCTGTAAATCCAAATTCCCTGCATCATCATGTCGAATCATTTAATTGATATTTTTACAGAGATTTATATTTATTTGAAGTCTTTTATGTCAAATTATCAAATCTCAACTTGGCTTTTTTTCTAAGTGCTACTGCTGGCTTTGATATTTAGCTGGCCGAGAGAACCAACACGTTAAAGTACATTTTAAAAAAAAGTCAAAAGGCATGAGTTGCTTGCGTAGAATTTGTATTTTATTTTATTTTAAGTATCCATACTTTAGTCCAGATTTCACAAATCTTAAACCTTATAGATTTCAGGTAGAGCTGATTTAGTTTGTCAAAAAGTTAAAAATAAGCATCTTGCTGCTGAATTAGCGTCATACAGAAAAATAAAACCTGAGTAGATAATTTTTTGTGCCCTAATGCCCCAATAAACCTTAGAAAATCTGGAAAATGATACAGTTTCTAAATTACAATTATGTAGGAAGTAAGTAAAAGTTGCAATAAGTACATAAATGACAAAACTTTCTTAGGCAAAGGTTTATGTTTTAGTATCAGCAAAATTGTTTCCAAATTGCTGATAGCTGCAAACATTTTAAAAATAATCAAATGCATTTATCTAATTTTTAAATTTGGGACCTGCTGTGTGTTTCTTTATGTCCTCTACCTGTTTTAATCCCCTCTTTTAAAGCAGACTGCCTATACGCTAACCTGGTAAAAAAAAAAAAAAAAAAAAAAAAACTCAAACTGGACAGAACATTGGAATAAAAGATGCCAAAGTCTAAAGAAAACCTTAAAAGTTGTTTGAAAATCTTGTGAAAATATTAATCAAGACCAATTTTAGTTGTGGAAAGTGAGGCTTTTTGGAAGCAAGTAGCTTGTGTAGAATTATTGTTGCTAACATTTGATATTTATTTAAGTGTGTTAACTGTTTAGACTGCCTGATCGCAGCGGAAAAAGAAACGGATCACATCATGATGTGTCCTGGGTTGTTCTTCGACCAGAGATTAAAGCTCACAGTGATGAACTCCTGTGATTTATGAGATTTTATGATAAAACAATCAGCCCTCGGAGTGCTGCAGCAGTGTGGGGCGGATGTGCACAGGTGAAAGATGTGCTGTGGGTCAGTGATCAGATCTGAACTGTGTCCAGTGCCAATCTTGATAATTTTCCAAATTCATTCATTATCACACATGGGCAGGTTGCAAGGCATACTCCAACATAATGAATGCAGAAAGAAGCAGTGCTAAATGTTTTAGAGCAGAAATAAAAAAAGCACAAGCTAAGATTTAATTGTTAGCTAAAGGAACTGCTTTAATCTGTATTTTTAGTTTGTATTTTTGTCAGTATTAATCAAAAAAACAAAGAAACTTGCAGTTAGATTATTTTTTTTTTAAGTTTTATTTTTCAGGTTTATATTTTTTATCACGATTGCAGGACTAAGATGTGAAACACCCTCATTTGAAAGACGCTTAATTGTGACCTTATAGTTTATCTCTGCAACCGGATTGCATCAGGTGCAATAAAGGGTAGATGCTGGGATATCACAGAAACGAAACCTTGGGGTCAGTAATGCTCCGACTCTTCAATCTAAAAGCATTATGTGAAAATACAGCTTGAAAAAATATGCTAACTTGAATTTAAGGTAATCCATTCTGGTAAAACATATAAGGCAGTCCCATCAATAAAACTGATAAATTCATTTGATCTCTTCTTTGCAGCTACTTTTATGCTGAACCAACTGAAATTGAGAGGCAGATTAAACGTATTTTCCACAAACATTTTTGCTCCTTGAGCTTTTTTCTAAGTTTGACATGTTACAACCACAAACTTTAGTAGACTTATTTGGATTTTATTTAATTGACTAGCATGAAATAGTGTGTTATTGTGAAGTAGAAAGAAAATCATACATAGTTTATGAACTTGTCTTAATTAAATGTGAAAAAATGCAACAGGCTGTGTATTCAGATCTTTTCCATATTTCATTCTGTAAACAAAGCTTTGAAGTTTCCTTCAGGTTCACTTTCACTTAGTAAATGAAATCCATATCTGTGTAATTTAATCTGTGTATGAATCCAGCTGTTCTGTGAGAAAAGGAAGCAGGGTTATGCTATGAAACCTTAAACCAAACTGAACATCTCACAGAGCACTTTCAGTTCAGTCCATAGTCTGAAAATTTCAGCATAATAATACAACTGCAAAGACACCAAAACGCGATTGCATCAGATTGGGCAAGTAGAGTATAAGTTAGAAAAGCAGCAAAGAGGCTAGCAGTAGCCCTGCAGGTGCTGTAAAGGCTCACGTTGGACACTCTAAGGACTGGACTAGACGACTGATAGTTGTGTATGCCACATTGTCAAAGACAGTTGTTTACAGTCTCATTTGCAGTTTGCCAAGAACTTTGCAGAGGTCACAGAAAAAATAGAAGAAGTTCCTTGACAAAGGAGAAAATGAACCAATTTGAATCGTTTTCATTTTTTGTGTGTGCTTCTTGTCCATTTTCTTTGGCCCAACTCCGGATTTTAATCGCTAACAGCTTTCGTTCTTCTTCAGCATCTGTCGACGTTTGTAATGGACAAGACAGAATCTATTGTCACTGTAGACGATGCTATCAAGAAACTGATTCTTCTGGACTCGAGGGATAAAATCTGGACACAGGAGATGCTGCTGCAGGTCACAGACAAGGCGGTCAGACTTCTTGATTGTGACACTCAGGTTTGTTCATATTCACACATTATGCTCTGCATATGTCTCTGTGTCTCTTAGGTATGCTCCCATAAGGAGGTCAGATTTAAACAGATGTAGATGTTCTGCATCACTCCTTAAGCTACTATTTAAATGTAAAGTTATTTATACACTTCTGGAACTTTCTAGAAATTACATGTTGTTTAAAGTGTTTGTTTGAGTTGATGATTCTCATCTGGTAGGAAAGATTTCTAGAAATACCTCAGAAAAGTGTAAAGCACACCATATGAATCTACAATAATAATTATCTTCTTGAGATGTTATTTTATTTTTCCTTAACTTTTTTTTTACCATAATAATAATGGCATTCTGGTTGCTGTGCAGGAAGAACTGGAGAACTTCCCCCTCACCACAGTCCACCTCTGCCAGACGGTGCTGAATCAGACACGCTACCCGTCTGTGTTGCTGCTCATGTGTCAAGACAGGGACCAACACAAACCCGACATCCATTTCTTCCATTGTGACCAAGTGGAGGTGTGTGTGTCGGAGTGTGTTTTTTCTTCCAAGGCTTGAAGTGTGTTGTTAGTTACCTGTCCAGGTGCCCTAGAATGCCTTTGTTTAAAAATATATTCAGCTATTTTTATTGGTTGTTTTGGTCAGATTTGACTTACATGTATAAGCAATTAATGCATTTATGTTTTTAACTTATTGTAGACAAATAATCACATTTTAACAGACAAAGTAATTAACTGTAATTTTAAACACATTTAAATTACAATTAAATGTTAAAGTCCAGTTAAAGTGATGCTTTAGAAATTTGAATGGAGCTTTTGGACCCGAAGCAACATATCCGCAGCGTTTAGTTTCTTTGTTTTGTTTAAATACTGGAACAATACGGCCTGCATCAGCAGCGGTAAAACAAATGGTTGTTATGGAGACTAGATATCAGATCTTTAGCAGGCCTGGTGATATTGTAAATTAGAGCAGGGTAAAAATAAAAGCACATTTCTACCATCTTAAGACAGCTCCAATCCCAATAAATTAATGGAAAATATATTATTACAGTCTCTTTCCTTCTGGCCAAGAAAAGGAAAGAGATTCTTCTTTCCTTGTGTTTAAACTGATTCTGATTTTATATTCAAGAATACAAACTCTGTTTTACTTCAAGATTATATAAATATAAATATTTTTTGATCACATTTGGTAACACTTTATTTGAAGGGGGTTGAATAAGACTGACATGACACTGTCATTAACATGACATAACACCTGATATGAACATGAATGAGCCTTCATGAATATTTATGACTGTTGTCATAAAGCGTCATTCGGTAAATTATAACACTTTTAATACGAAGTTGACATTATTCAAAATGTCTTTGTTATGACAACTTGACATTAACCAAGAAATCATTACTGATATAAATTTGTTATAAAAGAATTACTTAGGTAACTTTATGTTATTAAAGGTAAAGTTTAAACAGTAATGATTTCTTAGTTAATGTCAAGTTGTTGTAACAAAGACATTTTGAATAATGTCAACTTTGTATTAAAAGTGTCATAATTTACCGAATGACGCTTTATGACAACAGTCATAAATATTCATGAAGACTTATTCATGTTTATGACAGGTGTTATGTCATGTTTATGACAGTGTCATGTCAGTCTTATTCACCCCCTTCAAATAAAGTGTTACCTCACATTTGGCCCATAAAAAAACCTCCAGCTTCCATGATAGAAGTAGTAAATTAAAATCACACTGGTAAGAAACAAATTCACTTATTATCATTATTGATGCATCAAAACAAAAATACATCAAAGATCAGGCTGACTGATGTGTTTCTAGATATATTCATCAGTTTGTTTTTATTTACAGTAAATACTATTTCAAGTCACAGATTATTGCTACATACCGTTTGTGTGAAAGAGCTTCTGCAAATCCATTCAAAGTCACTGTTAAAAAAAAAGAAAAGAAGTTTAGATGTAATTTTAAAACTACTCATCTAGAACTGTGATTTTTAAAAACATTTCTTTTCTTCCCTCTGTCTCCTCATCCAGGCTGAGATGGTTCACGCAGACATAGACAGTGCTCTTGGCGACAACAAACATGGGAGAAAAATGAGGCTGGAAACCCTCAAGTGAGAACAATGTTGTACACAAACACATACATATGTATTTATTTTACTGGTTACCTCTACTTTTGTGGCAGTAATGACTGCAGTGACGCATTTTGCACCATTCTCCCTGTTCAGAGTGAACCAGGAAAAAATGAAGCGTCAAAGAGAAACCATCCTCCCTCCCTCGGCCCCCAGGGGCCCGCCACCTGTTGCAAACAGACGAGCGGCAGCCGCTGCACACACTCACAGTGAGAACGCACGCAGACTTATGCAGTCACGCAAACTCGCACATTTCAGTAGCAGAACATAATTTTACCAGCTGTGGTTTTAGTATTTATTGCGATTAATGATAGTTTCTCCACTTGCAGGTCTGCACGATGCAGAGTCGCATGAAAAGCTGGCCCAGCGCATTGAGAAGGATGTGGTGAGCTTCTTTGATATCCACTGTGATGGTCATCATCGTCCTTCTCATGAGCTCATAACGACTACAGCGTACATGTTTTTTTAAAATTATTATTATTATTATTATTATTATTCAGCAAATCCTCAACTGTGCCCTGGACGACATCGAGATCTTTGTGGCGCGGCTGCAGAAGGCAGCCGAGGCTTTTTATCAGCTCAATCAACGCAACAAGAGTAAGAAGAACAAGAAGAAAGGACCAGCAGGTCTGTCAACCTTTCTTCTTTTGCAGTGGCTCAATCAGCGTGACAATATGAACATATTGCTCACGTTGCGATGTGTGGTTCTCTTTGTGTCCTGTGTGCTCATCATTTTATCATATTTATGCATGTTTTGTCAACACTTTACCTGCTTCCATGTTTTATGGGGTGGTGTTTTTTTTTTTTTTTTTAATTTTGAAAGGTAGAAACTTTTCTCGATGAATCAAAGATTTGTTTGATCAAGTATGACAAGATCTTGCAGTATTAAAATATAACAATACTTCTCATCAAACTGTCTGTCTGGGAAGCTCTACTCAGCTGTTGTTAGTGTGTGAGGTATTTAGTTCAACGGGTGTTATTATGACTAAAACTGCTGATCAGACTGGCTGACAGCACTCAGTGAAGTAGGCATTGAAAAGCTCTCACTACTTTTAAAATGTCTGTATGGAGACATTTTTGTTGCATGGTTAAAAAAAGAAACGGTGACAGCTTGCAGGATCAGCGTGGAAGCGCTGCTGGAATACTGTGACTGGTTAGAGAGGCTGAAGTTAGTATCTGCTTTGCAGCTTCAGATTCCTCCGTTGTCATTTAATCAAAAAAAAAACAAACAAACATGAAATGATATTGAAATCAGTATAATAAATAGCTAAAACTCTCCAAAAGCATGTTCAAACAGTACTAACAGTGCAGAACAGCTGCATTTAACCAGATTTTCGAATTTATTCTTGTTTATTGATTCTTTAATAGACTAAATATGTGCTGTTTTATTCCAGAGTATCTTTTCGAAGTTTCTGTATCTTCAATGTAAACAACGAAAAGAAATGATGTGTGACTGGTAACGAGACATGAACATCTTGGTCTGTTGGTACAAAAAAGCTTGGCCATGCAGCTCATCAGCATCATGCAAGGTTGTGCTGTGAAAAAGCATTCAGATGGCTGAAATTTTGACTCTAGCAAACAGATGGGAAGTGGTTCATTAAACATGAAAGGGAGTCTGAGATTTACAACCAGCTTGGAAACTCTTTGTAGTTGAGAATTTATGGAAAGCAATTCAATCTACAAAGATCCAACAACCAGCAAGTGGAAGAGAGACTTTCCTCCTTCACATCCATACTGGTAAAAATATTACGGCTAACTTGTAATTTTTCCTCTCCTCCCTAAATAATGACGCAACGGAAAAGTAAAATACTAGAGAAGCGCCAATTTACGAAGGCAGTCAACATTTATCTTAAACTCCCATTTTATATCCAACATCTCCTGCGTCATAAACTTTTTGTTCAACCAGCTGAGTCACTGGTTATGAAACTCTATAGGAGTTTTTCTTGCCCTGGTCAAGGTGAGCTGTTTATTACCTTCCTTCGGTGTATCACTTCAGCGATAAAATGTTCTGGAATAGATGAAAAAGAAACAAAAATCGAACATTTATGACTTTGGTGCTTTGCCAAGAAAGTGAAACCTGCGTCCTGTCTGCAGCAGGGGTGTGGAGCAGCTGGTAACCCTGGCCTCTGCGTGTGGTCACTGTTGTTGTTCTTGCTTACAGAGGGCATGCTGACCCTGCGGGCCAGGCCCCCCTCTGAAGCAGAGTTCATTGACAGCCTGCAGAAACTGAAGCTGGCCCTCAACCTCTTGGTGAGATATCAAAGCTTCTAACCTCCGCCGGTGAACTCATCGACTCTCCAGTGATCGTTTGCCACTCTGCCCCCTGCAGGCCAAACTGAAGAAACATCTACAGAACCCAAGTGCTCCGGAGCTGGTTCATTTCCTGTTTGGACCTTTGGAGCTGGTAAGAGATAAAAACCATAACTTGTCTGAGTTTAATGTGGCCGAGGAAAGCCGTCTTTCTCTCACTGAGGGGCCTTCATGTTTTGGTTAAAATGAAACTTGGCTGAGCTGAGAGGCCACTGACAGAGTGCTCTTTAAATTCAGTTCATCGCTTGCATTTTTTTCACGTCAGATATTTGTGGTTTCTTTGGCTTCTTTCTTTCTTTTCTTTTTTTTTTTTTTTACTCTGGCACCACACCCACTCTCGGTGCTCTGCTCAAACACTTAACCAACTTGAGTGACACGCATGGCTTTCAAAGCTGGAGTGTTCAGCCACTCCTTCGATACTGCAGGACAGAAAATGATTTGTGAACTCTTGAGATTTCTGTGATGTTTCTGAGGAAAGCTGACCTATTTTAGCTGCCTTCTACATTGCCCAAGCAGGTGTTTCTCTCCTGAAACTGTGCTGCAGAAGATGGTGTGTGAATTTGTAAAGCAGCAGCTAACTGATTTTTATTCAGATTTTTTTTTTATGCGCTTCTTGTTTTTTTAATGCTGTTTATTAACTGCTTTATTGTTTTCGCTGTTTCATTTTATACAAGCTTAGGTTATATGATTAACTTTTCCACTCGAGAAATACAAAAGGTTTTCATACGATGTGAACACAACTGTATTTTATCGGGGTTTTGTGTGATAATTAACACAATAGAATAGCTGTTTTTAAAGGACACACAAATAAGAAAAGAAAGGTGAAAAGTGCTTTTTAGAACCATTATTTTTCGGCCATTCACGCTGTATTGTCTCTACCAGCTTCACATATCTTATAGACTAAAAATTTAGCTTTTTTTTTTTCCTTTTTAGACTAACTCAAGCTCAGTCAGATTGTATGGTGAGCATCTGTAAACAGATAATTTGAAGTCTAGCAACAGATTCTCCTTTTGATTTGTTTCTGGACTTTAACCAGAATCTTTACTCTTGGCATCATTTGATCAGAATACCTTCCTTAACATGTTCATTAAGGTCAGATTTGTGGCATGCTCGACTAATTGTAGTAGTCCTCTCCCCTGAGCTGTGCATCTCTGCAGCTCCTCCAGAGTGACAGACATGTCTTGGCAGGTTTGCGGCTGTAACTTCACATGATAGTTGTATTTTTAATGAGCTGAAGTTGTCCACAAATAGACACTGTTTTCTGATTTGTGCAAGGCAAATGGTGATGTTGTATTAAGTGTAGGGGGTATTGGGGCAATAAATGATGAATACAAGTACATGCCAAACTTTCATTTGTAAAAGACAATGCAAAAAACATGTCATTTTTCTACCACTTCACTATTGCACTGAAAGTATTTTCGAAGTATTGCAAATGTCTAAAAGTCGTTAACATTTTTGCAAAGCACTCCACAATTTTGGGGTTGTTATACCATCTTTACCTGGAGAGTACCTTGGCATGATCTCCTCTGAGTAGTCAGAGGAGATAATGAGCACTACTCTTTCAGTCAGGTCCAACTGTGAACCTTTAAACCGTGTCCTCAGGTCCTGCAGACGTGTGGAAGTCCTGACCTGGTGCGCTCCGTCATCTCCCCTCATCTTTCGATGGATGCCGTCGACTTCCTGCGCGGACACCTCACCCCCAAAGAGATGAACATGTTTGAGCTGCTTGGTGACGGATGGACCAGACCCAGGTGTGTTTACATGTGGAGTGCTGCCGCTCCTGCTGCTGGCTTTGTCTGCTTATCATGTGAATCACATGGATCACTTTTAAACAACCTGTCATTCCTCCTCTTACAGGGCAGAGTGGCCCAGAGATCAGTGCGCGCCTCCTTATTACCCCAAGTTTCGAAATGGATGGGAGCCACCTGCAGAGTTTTTCTTGACGTCTCCGTGGGAAACCGAGGGACCACCCAGTCCACTTCCATCTCCCACAAGCCCTGACTACAGAAGACACTCATCTGACGATGTAAGATGCTTTTGTTTCCCTACGTCAGTTCAGATTTATTAAACGTATAGCTATGTCTTTAAACATCTATCTGTTTTCTTTGTTTTGTCATTTTTTTTTAGTATTACGTCAATCCTTCCCCACCAAATGGGGTGCACAGCAACCGTAAATATGCCAAAATCCGTTACAATTTTGTGGCGCGGAATCCCAACGAGCTGTCAGTGCTGCAGGATGAAGTCCTTGAGGTTGTGACACCACACTTTCCTGTTTTTTTTTACAGTTTCAATCGAGATGTTTATTTTTGCATCAGAACTGTGCCCTGTAAATGAAGCATTGTGGGATAATGCATCACGTCTACTCCAGCTTCCTGTGTTGTGGAGTGAGCTGTTGAATCTTTCTCGCAGGTGTTGGAAGACAACAAACAGTGGTGGAAACTACGGAATCGCAGCGGCCAATCCGGCTACGTCCCATATAACATCCTGGATGTGGTACGGCTAGAAGAACCAGAAGATCCCTACCCGGTAACTTACCAACTCTGCATGTACAACGTTTACTGCAGTCCTGTCTGTTCAAGACACATTGAGAAACACTGCAAACTCGTACACATATCATCACTGTGGTTTCCTAAATACTTTGGCTCAGGCTTTGAGAGATGATGCAGAGGCTGCTACATCTATACCAGGGCAAGAAAAACACACTCTCCTTTCACTAAATGTTTTTGATATATAGAAAGTGTACATACCTCTGTGAAAATTACATTTCTGTTGAGTAAAAGATACAAGGTTTATTTCATAACCTCCATGTGAAATTTCATAATTATCCCAAATGATTCAACTGAAGAAAACAAACAAAAAAAAACAAATATGGTGTCTTTACTCTGCAGAGACATGTTTGGAGTCATTTTTTACTAAATGTTAGTAGTTTCTCACGCCAAAATCTTAAGTATCTGCTTAGAAAAAAAATTCATCCCTGAGCATCACCGTAAGTGTAAATTTCCATCCAAACAAACAAAAATAATGATTTCATGGGAACAAAATTAAAGTTTTCCGGATGACTGGGCTTGGAGTTCAGAACTAAGTCTGAGAGAAAATCTGTAGGAATCTCCTGATGAAGGCTGGAGATAGATTTGGAGAATTTTTGTAAGGTAGAGCAAATATTGCTGAATGGTGATTTAAGACTCTTATAGGCCTAAAAAGAATGGAAAGACAGAGGATTCTTTAGTATCAGCTGCAAGCTGCTCTGTACAACTTTGTCAGCACTTCCTACGTAACATTCCAATTTGCACTTCCTCCAGACGGCATGCACAACAAAGATCCTGCGTCAGCTCGTGCATGAAGCTCCTCTTCCTTGTTCAAAACACGCATTCACATATTTTGCTTCTGGCTTTCATTCAAAAATGAATCGGCCGGAGAAAGAGTAGGAAGCTGAACCGGTTTTTGTAATAACATTGTGGTTTCTCTGCGTCTGTGTGTGTGTGTGTGTGTGCGTGTGTGTGTGTGTGTGGCTGTGTGATTCCAGAGCGACTACAGGGGTTCGCCCACTGAACTTCTGCACAAGAGAGACAGTTTCAAAGGGGGAATACAGAAAGACAAAAGTGAGTCAACGCACACAGCAAAAACAACAAACCGAGAATGTTTAAACCAAACACTCGCTCTTACTTTCGTTTCTATCACCTTTCTGTTCTGCAGAGATGGACGAGGTTAATAACGAGCTACTGATGAAAATCACAGCAAACAAAAACCCGCCACCCAGAAAGATCCGGATAGAGCGCCCGGCGGCCCCACAGGTGCCATTAACTTCCCAGTCATCTCCAGAGCAGGTGACAAGGTGGCTCAATGCGAAAGCTTTCTCTAAACAGTAAGTTTGCTTCGTTGCACACGTCGTCTATTTGCTCACTTAAAAGCCCAACAGCAGTGATGCTTTTAGTGCTTTTGATTACTCTTTATAGTCATAAAATTCCTGCCCCCCCCCCAAACCATTTTTATGTTAGACTAATACTGCTGCACATTTGGAGGCAAGGTTTATAATCTATAACAACCCCAGCCCTCAAGGCTCACTACTCTGCATGTTTTAGATGTTTCTCTGCTTTAACACACCCGATTCAGATGACTTGCAGCTCAGCAAACGCCTGTTAATCAGCAATCAGTAGAAGCAGTGTGTGCTGAAGCTGGGAAATGCCTCAAACATGCGGGGTTGTGTGCCTTGAAGACCAGAGTTGGAAAAACACTGATATATCATACATTGTTTTGTAAATCACGTGAAACTGAGGCCGATTGTGCAAACCAGTCGGTTTTCTTATCTGTTATATTCCAGGTTATAATAATGCCAGTTTTCTGTTCTTACCTGTCAGCAGTGGCCCCCAGTGTCGGTCTTCTGCTGCTGTTGCACATCTGTTTCAATGTTTCACATGTTCTTTTTGAGAAGGCTTTCTACATACCTTGTATGTAATGAGTGGTTATTTGAGATAATGTTACCTTTCTATCACCTGGAATCAGTCTCTGTATTCCCCTCTGACTGCTAACATCAACAAGGTATTTCATTCAGACAGCAGCATACTGAACCCAATTATGCAACAAGATCTACAGTAGATTGTTTTTTTTTCATGTGTTAGAATGGCCTAGTCAAAGTTCAGACCAAAATCTATTTCAGAATCTGCCAAACATTTTTAAATCCATGTCTCATTTTCCTTCCACTTCACAGTTTTGCACTAGTTTGTGTTGGTTGATTAGATAAAATCTTTTAAGTTTGCGATATAAAGGACAAAGATGAAAAGGCTTAATACCTTCCTAGGCTCTGTACATGGGAATGGAAGGATTCAGCAACAATAAACGGTAAAAATATGGTATATTCATGCGCAAGAACGTGAGAGATTAATTCATTTTTCAGATGACCTGAACTGCTCTCATTAGTCATAAAGGTGACATTACATCAACAATGACAGCAGCATTACATTTACATAATGTTAATCATTCAGTAGGTGTCTTTATCCAAGGTGGCTAACAAGTGAGTAACAAGATGCATCCACTTTAGGTGAGGCGTGTTGAATTGTCAGAGGAGTCAGAAGAACTGGCGTTCATGTCTGTTTTCAAGACTCTCTTCAAGACAGACAAGGATCTCCATCTTTCTGATGCTGAGGGCAGTCAGAAAAGATCATTTACTTTGAGTATGGACGACTGCACAGTCGCTTTAGAAGTCAGATCGCAATGAAATGAGCTGTGCAGCGCCTTCATGTTCTGCACCATCTGCACCTGTAATAATGCAGGTACTACAGAGTCATTAAGTGACTGTTCTTCAGTCATGTTTCGCAAGTTTTTAGAGTCGTTGATTGGGAGACGGTTGAAGAGGTAGCTTTTATGTGGCTATATTGTTAGGAAGAGATGACTCACAGATCAGGCACTGGAAGGCATAGCTGAAGGTGTAATTCCTTTTTAAATGTGGGAATATTCTAGAGGCATCCCCCCAGGGGCTGGAACAAACTCACTTCAGAGGAATCCACATGTTCCTTATGCCACTTCTGACACCAAGGCTTTTCCTGCTGCAACATGCCACACTGCCTAGAGAAGACTGTATCTGGTTCTTCACTGTGTAACCAGCAACGACGCGCCCTCTGTTAGGAGCAAAATCACTCTCAGAAATGCTACAGATGTGTCTCAAATGCTACTACAATAAACTGTCTTACTGTCCCTTCTGCAGGACTGTTGAATGTTTGGGAATCCTGACAGGAGCGCAGCTGTTTTCCCTGAACAAAGAGGAGCTGAAGGCCGTGTGCGGGGACGAAGGGGGCCGTGTCTTCAATCAGGTGTCTCTGCAGAAAGGACAGTTAGAGGTTGGCCACAATCCTCTGCATGCAACCTGCCTTTTTTTCTTGGAGTCTTTTTATTGATGTTGTGTGAAATCTTCATACTATACCTGGGCAAGTTGGGACAAAGTGTTCATTTAGAAATGTAGGAGCTGTCAACAGCTTTCAAACTGAAGGAAATAGTTTTAAATTAATACATGTTTAGTAGAAAAAATGATGTCATTTTTTCCTGACAGGTGATTAAAATCAACTGTCTGACAGCACTTGTAAAGTCAAAGTTTCCAACATTGACACTCAAACTGAAAAAGAAAAGAAGAAAAAAGTCAAGAAGTTTAATAAAGTTAGATCACAATTTGACAAGAATTAAAATTAGGGTTGCTGTCAAAAAAAAATCAAATGACTAATTTTTTGATGAAAAATAATCTAAACAAATAGGAATTCATTTTTTATTAAAGTGTGCAAAACTGACTTCAAATAAAAAACACATAGCCAACCATAACTTTGTTTGAAATTACAACCGTACTCTTTTTTGTTGTTGTTGTTGCTGGGTCCACTTATGCCCTGTTTTTTGAATATCCTGGCTGCTCTCAGGTTTTATTGCAAATAGACTGAAAATGAAATTGACAACACATGATCCAGTCTGGTGCCATTGTATTCTCAACTCTCACTCAAGATGGATCTGCAAATTTACTACTTTATTTTTCTTTTCTTTTTTTTTTACAACTCTTAAGTTGGACTCTGAACTGGTTTAAAATATTGTTTTGTATTTTATTATGGACATAAATTAAATTTTCAAAATAGGTTAGCTTCAACAGCAGACATCTTGATGACGCAGAAATCTGGTAAATCGTTTGTGCTGACGTTGCTTAGTGTTATCTTTTCCCAAAAGTTTTCCTTTGCTGCCACCTTCAGGAGAGTTACTGTAACAACAGTTCAGCAAACAGAACAGTCGGTTGTAACGTAAATAAGATGATAGACAATACATACAAATTTGAAAATGTTGAACAAAGCAAAGATCAGTGCTGGATTGGTAAAGTTGGCCTTTTTAAAAAAAAGAATTTAGTAACATAAACATCTAGAACTGTTTAAGAAGTTAAAGCCTCTGCTCAACTTTTGGAGCTTTCTCATAAAACTGCAGCATTTTGCTCTCTAATGTAGCTGCTTTGTTCTGGCAATGCCTCAGAGAACAAAATGATACAAAGCATCAAATGTTCTTTCTCTCCAGAAGTACCAGGGAGACTCTGAGCTGCAGGAAATCATGACGCGAAGGAAGGAGAAGGTCGACTCCACAAGCACCGACTGAACACGTGGAGCGCCACACGACCTCCTTTAGATGTTTTCCCTCCTCACAGCTTTCCCCAGGGCAGCAGCTTGCTAAATCAGCGAACATTTTCTTGTAATCCTCGGATAAAAAAAAAGAAACAAACCAGATTGAATACGCTCATTTTTAATTGCATATTTATTTTGTAAAATGTTAGATGTTTGTTATTCAAGTGTTTTCAAATTATGTTGCATTTTTCTCAATTGATAAAATTATCGAAGAAATTACCTGCTAAGAAGAGGAACTCGTGCACAGTTTTGTTGAATGTGCAGGGCATGCATGCAACATACGCGTGCATGAGAGGGCAGAGTCAGTGTATGTTCTTAATAATACTGTTTTATACTGTTTGCAGAATTTGCCTGTAAAAACCTAAAATCTTTGCAGTTGCTTTTTAAAATCAGTGCCAGGATGTTTGACATGTTTTCTATTGCATAGCCAATTATTTTCATGTTAATGCTAACGGGAAAAATAAAGCAAGCATACGTTTTGTTGTGTATGGCAGACGTTTGTGTCTGGTCGGTAAACAAAAATCAGCGACAAGTATTAGAATAAATGCTCTTATTCTTGTTTTCTTGATGTTATTTGACATTTTGGCAACTTAACAAAGCAATATGCCTTTCTCAGTAATAGTGGGATCTTTTATGTGGCGCCCTCCAAATTTATCGGCGTACCTAAAATGGATACAAACCTTTAAAATGAATTAATCTTTTATCGCTGAAGCATATTTTGGCGTTGGAAACTTTTTCTGCAGCTCATATTCCATGGACAAAGTCATACATTAGTGCATGGTATTATGTGGTACACATAATACCAGTCTTTTCATTTTGTTTCTATTTTTGTTTTGTTTCTATTTGGTTTACTTGTGGACAATGGAAACTGAGTTAATTATGACAGATCTGTCATAGTGTGAACAAGTAGCTGTTTTCTTGAGGCCGTTTTGTGATTTATTAAATGAAACGTGAATCTTCTCATAAAAGAAAAAAAAAATAGAGAACAGAATGAAATGCCAAGGCAGCCATGCTGAGAAAATCACTGGTGAAAGAATGTAGTGAACGTCCCTGTACAATTTGTTATTGACAAGAAGTTAAGTTCTTATTGGATTAATATAATCAACTCTAAAGCATTCTCTCTACAATCTCTCTGTCACGGTTAAACTGTTTGTTTTCTCAGTGAAATCGTAGTGACCCAGTTAAGTAAAATACTGATGACAAAATCAACAACCTCAACACTCTGAACAACTTAAAAAAGTAAGGTATAAGTTTGAAAACGAAGCCTCTGTTACTCCTCTAGGGCCTTGTAAATTTGACGCAGGTGACATTTTAAACAGCTATTAAGTGCTATCTATTATGGAATTTCTTTTCCTCAATGAGTTTTTTTTAAATTAGTGTTGAATTATGCTACAGTAAAAAATAGATTAGTCAATTTTAAGGGCTTTTGCACATCTTTTTATTATTTGTGTACGTTAGTGTCTATTGTAACCTGGTGTCTGTGATGTAAACTGCACAAAATGTTAAGAAGAATTAACTCTAAATTTGTGTTCTGGTATGAAAAATGACATGAAGATTCACAGAAAATGTTCTTGGTGTAAATATTTTTGATGATATAATTAAAGAATTTACCATTAATATTTTGCAACAGATTTTTATATACTGTTTTTTTTCCCACTTATTTAATAACACTGTCTTTATAACTCCAATGAACCAATGGCTTCGCTGGAAAAAGGTAAAACATATGCAATGCCCAGTTATGAGTTTCAAGGTATATTCTAAGTTTTAAAAGTTACCATCTTTACGTAAACTATAACTGATGTTTAGCGTTTTAGCAGCAGTTTCCATAACTTATTTTTGCTGTTTCCAGTCCAGATGAATTCCAGTTAAACGTTTTATTGTCTTCAGCATTATTTTTGGGGCATTTTCCTATGTTTCAAGTTACCATGGGTATTATTCTAACGTAACAAAAAACGATGCACTATTTGTTGTTGAAAGTCTTTAATGAGTCTGTCACATTTTATAATTTCACCTTTTAACACTGAATTACGGTTGATCCTCAAAAATCTAGCGTTCACTAAAAGATTAGAACAGTCTTTTACATTAAACACAGATCAGTCCAGTTTCGTCTATTAGATTCTCATATTATATGACAAACGTGAAAAAGCCAGCTAATCATTTATGGAGATATGCATCAAGCCACAGTTCCCCTGACGTTTTCAGCGACCTGAAAAAGAACAGAAAAACGTCAGTTGAGAGCCTGTGTTGTATAACTGCTTAAAGAAAGACTAATGGCCTCAAAATAATGTAGTTAGTAACTCAAAAAAATAGCATTTTCCATGAATATGCAGTGTGACTGCTGTAAATATTTAGCTGTGAAAGATTCCAAAGTTTTCTGCAGAATTTTTCAGAAATTATGGGATGTTCCATTCATTTCAGTAGGGCCCAATATGATCACAAAACGCTGAACATCTCATACACCATAAAAGATGTCAACACCAAAAGACATAGCTGTAATATCCTTAGCAGTGGCTCTAGGTTATTACCTGACCACGTCAACCATTCCTCGCCACAAAGTTTTCGTCTCGTAAGGAATCCCGTGTTTCTCACACAGCTCGCGGACCTGCGGCGCCACCAGCTGGTAGTTGTGGCGCGGCATCCTGGGAAACAGACTTGAAAGAGAGAGGCAGGATAATGGACTCAGTTTTAGAGGTAAACTAAAAATGAAAAAAAATATATATTACATTCAGAAAACAAGTGAATATAATTTAAAATACTTATTTTTAAGAAAGTACTGAATAGGACAAGCCTTTCTGAGCACAACACATTCTCTTTGTAAGTATCAAATCCATTCCTGGTCCAGAGGAGTAAATCAAGTACTTGTTACTTTAACTGGTAAATTTTTTTTTTACAGACTCTTTTTTTTTTTCTTCATCAGTCTTTGGCTTTGTCCAAATTTCAGCATGTTGCAAAAATGCTCACGTGGTACAAGAAAGTCAGTCAAAGTCCAAGTTTAAATCCTTTGACTTACTGGTGCTCGATTTGAAAGTTGAGGTGTCCGCTGAACCAGTCGTTGAAGAAGGACTGCTCAATGTTACAGGTGGCTTGCAACTGAAACAGAGAAAAAATTGAACAACTATGCACTTCTTTCTGTTGGCCAGTCCCAATATAATACAGTGAACTTTAAAACACCTGAAAGGTACTTCATTTTTTTCATCTTTCACTTTGACGACAGGGCTGGGAACTATCACACACTGAATACTGTGCTGTAAAGTATTTATCAAACAAAATACAGTAAATAAAAAATAAAAAAAAATCTGTAGCAAATGTGTGTGACCTTGCAGGAATAAGATGTCAGAAAATGTATGATAAAATATTTCTTATTTTCAATTAAGATAAGCTGTTGGCTGTAATTTCCTCCTATGATAAGCAGTGCACACAAAGAGACTCTAATATTAGTTGATGGTAAAGCAGGTACCTGCATGGTCAGCCAGTCTTGGCGCCTCTCGTGATCGATCTCCTTTGGCAAGTGGCTCATCTGAGTCACCCACACAAACCAATGGCTTTCTAAAAACCTGCAGGTTTGAACATCAACACATTTCGATTCATTGTGTTCTGCTTGAGAGCAGAGTAAAAAAAGCATGTGGCAAAGAATGCAGGCGGATTTATTAACAAAACCTTAATGCATATGCATAATCGAATCATGACTTTTCTTTTGTCCACTTTGTCTGTCTCTAAAACAAACCCAAACATGTTTGCACCCTTAATTAGACACATACATTTTTTAAAAGAAGCTATCGGAGTGTGCAACATTTTAAATCCTTCTCACCTGACGAACATCATGAGCGCCAGGGAGCCAAACACACCATACAGCGGAACAAAACAGTAGAAGTAACGAATGTAGTATGTGGAAGCCCAGGCCAGATCCTTCAAACAAACAGAAAAAGAAAATCATGTTATTTATATGTTTCTTTACAAAGAAAATGAGTCACAACTTCCTTTTATGGGCATCTTACCACCCAGTCACGTCGAGTAAACATGGTCTTCATTATGTTGTAGTTGTAGAAAACTGGAATAAGCAGCGGTGGCGCCACTGAAAGAGATGAACGAGTTAGTTCTGGAACGATTTTAGACTTGCTCAGCTCTTTCCAAACGTCTTGAAGCAAGCATACCGAGAAAGAAGTACTGGTGTTGGTAGTTATAGGGGTAGTGTTTGATCTTTTTAATGCCGTACTGCAACAGAGCGAGGCACGGAGTTCAGTGAGCTATTAAGCTGCATTAGAGCTCAGGACGAATTAGAAATGCATTCCTTTTATTGAGCTACTTGCCTCCACTGGCTGCGTGTTCCCAAGCACAAAGATATCCATCATGTTGATGTCGGGATCCTTCTTGAAAACGTTCGGTTTGGCGTGGTGCTGGAAATGTCGGTGGTTCCACCAGTTGGCTGAAGCTCCCTAAAAAAAACAACAACAACAAAAACAGTCAACTATTAGAGAACTCCAGACGGTAAACAGAATAAATCATGAGTTACCTTCAAGTGTCCAATTACAAACTTGTGGACCAGGTGATTCCACTTGGATTTCTTGAAGACAGAGAGGTGACCAAAGTCGTGCTGCAGCCATCCGGCCTGCGACTATTGGAAAGGATAAGTAGTTATTTCATCCATCTGAAGTTACTCGACGACAACAAGGACAGTTTAGTGCTGCTGAAAGTACTTGGGCGGTTGCGAGCAGCGCTGAACACAGCAGCGTCATCGTCCAGCTCGTGCCCAAGTGCGAGAGCAGCAGAAAGGCCAGGGCCTCCAGCAGCACGATGTGACACAGATGGAGGCAGAAGAATAAAGGCCGCGCTTGAAAAAGGCCTCTTTTCTCTGCCTGCTCTCGTAAACGATCAAACTCCTCAATGAGTTCTGCCTGCAAGCAGAGAAGAAGAACATATTTAAAGTTACTTTTATTATCAAATTTAATGTGACATGTGTGCAATCCTTTAATATTATAAATCTCAGTGAAACTTGAATGGAGGTATAAAGATCAAATGCTGCCCTCAAGAGCTGTTGCTCTACATGTTTTAGATTTGCCAGAATTAAGGGCTTAATTACTTCCTTAGTATGTCAGAGGCCCCTTAATGGGCCATTTATGTGAATCAGTTAGATTGACCCAGGAAACACTTAAAATATGCATGCATTCTTTAGAACAGGAGTTGAGCATCACAGTAGTTTAAAAGGTAACACTTTATTTGAAGGGGGGTGAATAAGACAGACATAACACCTGTCATGAACATGAATAAGCCTTCATGAATATTTATGACTGTTGTCATAAAGTGTCATTCGGTAAATTATGACACTTTTAATACAAAGTTGACATTATTCAAAATGTCTTTGTTATGACAACTTGACATTAACCAGGAAATCATTACTGATATAAATTTGTTATAAAAGTATTACTGATTGCACTTTAAAATTAGGTAACTTCATGTTATTAAAGGTAAAGTTTAAACAGTAATGATTTCCTGGTTAATGTCAAGTTGTCATAACAAAGACATTTTGAATAATGTCAACTTTGTATTAAAAGCGTCATAATTTACCGAATGACGCTTTATGACAACAGTCATAAATATTCATGAAGGCTTATTGATGTTTATGACAGGTGTCATGTCATGTTTATGAAAGTGTCATGACAGTCTTATTCAGCCCCCTTCAAATAAAGTGTTACCATATAAAATATCATTGAAATGTGAATTAATTCCAAAAAAATTCAATTCCAAAAGGGAAACTGTAATGATCCATTACACACAAGTGGATTGTTGTTAACAACCTCCCCAAGGAGGGCGTGTTACAAAATGGATTTGCCACAGAAGTTGGCTGTTCATGGAGTGCTGCATGCAAGGATATTAAAATTAGTTATAGAAAACACTGCACAGGCAGCAGTGTGGCCTGTGTAGGCCACACTGGCCCCCTGCCACCTTTAAATGTAAAATCTTACACTTTTGTTTCCATCCTGGTTTGGCTCTGTCGCCACCAGCTCTCCAATCAGCAGAGGCTTCAGGAACTTCTGCACAAACTTTTGATCAGGATGAAAAGCAGCAAAAACTTCCTGTGAAGAGAAACATTTGACGCTTTAGGCATAAACCAAAGTAAAAACTGAGAAAAGCTGAGAGCTGTTAAAAAAATAAAATAAAATCACATATATGTTGGAGCAGCACAGCTGAGCCGAATCCAACAGAGGGCAACTTCACAACTAACAATGTCTAGTTGTAATGTTGCGGTCTAGGAGCAATGTGCTGACCATAACACGCAGAAAAAAAAGTCACTTTCTGCAGAACTGTTGTCATCTCTGGTAAAAATGTGGAAAATCCCAGTACCAAATTTATTGGCTTTTGTTTCACTTAAT